CGAAGGTTTTGCCTCGAACCACGAAGTCATTAAGGTTTATATTACAAATGAAAGAGAGGTTAAGGGTTTGGGGTTTTGGGTCTAGGGTTTAGGGTTTAGGGTTCAGGGTTTGGAGTTTAGGGTTTAGGGTTTAGGGTTTGGAGTTTAGGGTTTAGGGTTTAGGACGGTTTAGGGATTCCAATACCCCTGAATTAAGGAACATACCTCAAATTATAGGGGCCTTAATAGTATGAGTAATGAATGCACCTTAAGATATAGGGTTTAGGGTTTGGGATAAAGATATAGGGTTTAGGGTTTGGGATTTAGGTTTTAGGGACAGAGGACCCCACCAGGACCCCCCAATGGCCCTTTAATAGAGCCCTTATGGTCCTTAATAGTGGGTATTTGGGGGATAATAGAGGGTAGTTGGGGGGTCTAGGAATACCCTTTGATTAAGTTTGGAGTTTAGGGTTTCGGGTTTCGGGTTTAGAGATATTTAGGGTTTAGAGTTTAGAGATTTTGGGGTTTGGGTTTAGAGTTTAGGATTTAGAGATTATGGAATAGATTTTGGGGTTTAGGGTCAAGAAATCTGCTCATAGCTTGTGGCGACTATAACTCTAGCTTGCGGCCGCATGCACCCTACGTCGGACCGGCAACGGGGTCGACGGCATCCGCAGGCATGCGCGATGATAGTCTAGCGCGCCTCATTGCCAGACAAGATTTATGCGTGTTCAACAGCTGGCCCGCCCGTCCAGCACACACATACTTTAGTCACACGGGCACGTCGCAGATAGACTTCATCCTCACACGCAGGCGTGCCGCACTCGGTGCGAGCCGGCAAGCGAGACCCTTAATCAACTTCCCTGTCGCGGGATGGAGGCAGAGTGGACACTACTCTCTCCAGGCTCAACTCCCAATGGTGCCTGTGCATCGCCGAGCAGGCGCGGAGACTGCCACACCGACCCAGTGTGACAAGCAAGGCCTCATTCAAGCCATTAGCAACAAAACGCAGGCCGCGGATGAGCTACAACAGCTCGTGGGCTCTCGCCTGAGCCAGGTCCACACCTTGGACCCGCATCAGTTGCATGACCAGGTAAACCAAGTCCTGCTCAACTGCATACGACTGCGGCCCCCAGATCTAAGGTTGAAACCATGGGCTCCTAGTAGGTCCTAGTATGGGCCCTCAACCCTGGGATCCGTATACACCTACTATGTACCCTATATTATGTACCCTTAAGGGTCCCTTCAAAGGCCTAAGGGTCCATATGAGGGGCCCATACTTCTAACCTTAGACCAGAGACCACCTTAGCAGCGTGTGGGCTGCCGAAGACGTCCGACATGACCCCACCGTCTCGGCAGCCCTCCGTGCCGACCTGCATCAGCTCCAATTTTGTGAGGAGAGCATGGTTTGGGAAACTATCGAAGAGCACATAATATAGGGGCCGAATTAATTACCTACATGATTTTCGTGGTTCCTTATTTTCGAAATAATTACGTACATGATTTTGGGGGGTTCCTTATTTTTGTTATAGTATAATATACCCCCAAACCCAATCTTCTCATTAAGGCCCCTACATTAGACCCTCTTGCACTGCTCAGTGTGAGGCCGTTCGTGCCTCCAGCGAGATCTTGTTGTCCGGGCGTGCATTTGCTTCACTCAGCTTCGTTTACTTATTTCAGTTGTGTGGTGGCTAAGACCCTATCAACCCGGACCTAAAGTAGGGGCCTGAATAACTACAAATACTATTTTGGGGGGGTTCCTTATGATAATTACAGTACCATATACACCAAAGCCCTATTCTAATGATCAAGGCCTCGAAATCATGTGCTTTTCGATAGCTTCCGAAACCCGGACCTAGACCCTACAAGCCCAGACCTGAACCTGTAAACCCTAAACCCTAAACCCTAAACCCTAAATGTATGCAGTATGTAGCTCACCTGGTCTGGATGTTTGCAGTCGATAGCTCCCGGCAGAGTCATCAGAATTACAGTCCCACCAGTCACCCTCAACCCCAATCCCTAAAGTCTATAGATAGAGCCCTAAACCTTAAAAAACCCCGGAACCCCAAAACGCCCTAAACCCTAAAACCCTGCACCCAAACTCTCAGTCCCTGAGCCTTGAATCCTCAACCCTAAACCGTAGAGCCTCTAGGACTTTAAAGCGCTCGGGCGAGACCTAAACCTTAGACCCGAAAGATGTGAAGATAGACTGAGAGAGCAGGCTCTAAGGACCCTACTTTAGGTTTAGGGTTTAGGGTTTAGGGTTTTAGGGGTTTAGGGGTTTAGGGGTTTAGGGGTTTAGGGGTATAGGGGTTTAGGGTTTGGGGTTTAGGGTTTAGTTTTTAGGTTTTAGGGTTTTAGGGTTCAGGGTTCAGGTTTCTGGTCAAATGTCGACATGTCTGCAGCATTACCGAAAGCCTATAGCTCCCCACCCCCGATTTCTAATCATCACAGAACAGAACCCTAAACCCTAAACCCTAAACCCTAAACCCTAAACCCAAATCATTCCAAGCGGGCTTCGTTTCCGTTCAGGTCCTGGCAGCTCAATGTCTCATCGAGCAGCTTCTTTCAAGGAGAGCGGGCACAGCTTTCTTCCTACGGCTCAGGGTTGAGGTTTTGGGTTTAGGATTTAGTTTTGTGGCCTATAAAAAAAAAACCTATACTATTTTTTTGGGGGGGGGTCCTTATGATAATTATACTATCATATACCCCCAAAAAACCCGATTCTAAATCTGAAGGCCCCTATTCTAGAACCCTATCAGAGCTCCCTTATAGAACCCTTTAAGGATCTCTTTAAAGGAACCCTATTCTAATCTTTAACGCCCCTACATCAGAGGTTTAGAGGCGTCCTTCTTTAGGTTTTAGGGTTTAGGGGTTTAGGGTTTAGGGTTTTGGCGTATATGGTACTGTATTTATCATAAGGAACCCCCCAAAAGTATTTGTAATTATTTAGGCCCCTACATTGAACCCTTAGAGTCCTGAGTCCCAGACCTTTGACCGAAGTTTTCACCAGAAGCCATATCATAAAGCTCTATATTCCTGAATTCCCCTAAACCCTAAACCCTAAACTCCTCGAGATCGCCATGATGGTACTTTAGAAATTAACCCTAAACACCAAGCCGTAAACTCCTTCAGATCCCTATTATGGTGCTTTAGAAATTCCTAAACCCAAACCCCTAAACCCTAAACTCCTTTAGATCCCTATTTTGGTACTTTTGAGATTAACCCTAAACCTTAAACCCTAAACCTAAACCCTAAACCCTAAACCCGGTTTGTCTTTCAGGACCGCCAATGTCAACTTCGTGAAGGAGCCAAGGCGGGGGAGGTTGCGTTAGGGTCGTCAACCCCGCTCCAGGGCTCTATAGTAGGGTCCCCTTACAGGGTACCCTAGGGCTCTATAATAGGGTCTCCTTAAAGGGAGCTTCAGGGCTTGGGGGCTTTATTGGGTTTTTAGGGTTTAGGGTTGTGGGTTTGAGGCTTTGGGGGTTCAGGGAGTTCGGGTTGTGGGTTTAGGGATTTAGGGATTTAGGGGTTTAGGGGGCTTGGGGGTTTTATTGGATTTTGAGGGTTTAGGGTTCTGGGATTTAGGGATTTAGGGTGTGGGGGTTTAGGGAGTTTGGGATTTCGGGATTTAGGGTTTAGGGGTTTAGGGCTAACCCTAAACCCTAAACCCTAAACCTAAACCCTAACCTGGCTCCAGGGTTCATTGAAAAGAGCATTTCGGATTTGGGTTAATTGGTTTAGAGTTTAGGGTTTAGGGTTTCGGGTTTCTAATTAAGGTTCCTTGAATGACATCTTGTCTGATCAAGGAGCCTTTTGACAACCGAAGAGCCCTTACATGATACTCTAAGGGCTTCCAGCCCAAACCGGGACTGTGTTAGGGGAAAAAGGATGATTTGGGGCGGTCTATGGCTCAGGCCAAAAGTGAAGGGAGGCGGGACAGGGCTTTGTGGTGTTGAGCGACTGCACTATTGAAATATAGTAGATGGTATCTATGATATAATGTAAGATAATTATATATGATATATTTTGTACGATGATACATGCAATTTTCTACATGATATACTCTGCATAAATACATATACCAGGTTATTTTGCAAAGCTATTCCCCGACCATCTTCTTCGTTGGGATAGGTTTGAGACAGGCGCTCGTAGGCATTTTTGTCATGTAGCACAGGAAGCACAGAAGCTGCTCTCGTAGGAGTTATAGTTATGTAAGACTGGTAGCATGGAGCTTGTAGAAAGATTACTTTAAACCCTCAACATTCTGGTGATGTCGGAATAATTACGAATAAAATCCGCTTATGGTAGTCCCTAATGTGATTATGAACTAGTATACCCCAAGAACCCAACTCTAGTACCCAAGGCCTCTGTGTTAGATGCAGGCCTGGTGTCCAGCGCAAGGAGGCGGGCAGTCAATTATCGGACGAAGGTTGGGGGTTTATTACGGTATAGTTCAATCAACGAATCCTACAGTATTGGTGTTTATTCTGTCCCCTACATTATATGCTTCAGCTGCGAGCATGTGCTTCCGCGACAGACAGAAAAGCGAAGAGCGAGAAAGAGCGACAGCGCACAAGAATAGAAAGCCCGGCGCGAATGTAGATGTGTGTATAAAAAACATGTATGCATGCATGCACCCATCCTACATGTCGACACAGGCTACATACGTTCGAAGATAAGTACCTAAACCCTAAACCCTAAACCCTAAACCCTAAACCCCTAAGTCTACATGTAGACGTGAGCAGGGACACAGGCATGTCTGTCTGCCTGCACATGCACGCGCGCACGGACACGCCCGCAGCATCTTCTGCTTCGTTGCATGTTACTCCTGCTGCCCGAAAACCCCTAAATCCTACACCCTGAGCCCCAAAACCCTAAACGCTAAACCCTAAAACCTAAACCCTTAACCCTAAATCCTAAACCCTAAATCCCAAACCCTAAACCCTAAACCCTAAATCTTAAAACCTGAACCCCAAACTCCCAAACATGGCGGCTGCCAAGTTTCCGAAGCTCGCTGCGGCGATCGAGCCTGTGCTGTCAGAGCTTCCGAGAGAACCCAATACCCCTTAATTAAGGAATAGACCTTAAATTATAGGGGCCTCAAAGGGATCTATAAGGGTTCCTTAATTAAGGGGATCTACAAGGGTTTCTATAAGAGAATGAAGGAATATACCTTAAATTCTCGGGGCCTTAAGGTATATTCCTTAATTAAGGGGTATTGGGTTCTCTGGGTTGGGAAATGCCCGAAACTCTTAACTTGAGGTGCTCATTCTAGCGATTAGGGGTTCAGGGGTTTAGGGGTTCAGGGGTTCAAGGTTTAGAAGTAGGATTTTACGTTGTCTGCATGGGTGTTTGTCTATACTTCGGTTGCAGGGGTTTGGAGGGTTTGTCTAGGGCCCTTGCAGGGTTGCAGGTCCCGCCTTTGGGTTTTGAAGGGGGGCAATGCTTGCAGTAAGGATTTTAGCGTATTTTGCTTATGAGGGCTTATGCTTCGAGTCTTACTCTGCTCCTGCACAAGAGCTTCGTATAGCCTTTAGAATCGACTTCAATCCCAAAGCCCTAAACTAAGATTGAGATGACCTAAACCCTCTGCAGCCCTCGAGCACTGAACCTCAAACTTTAGCACGCCTAGTACATCTACATGGCTGCTTCCGCAGCATCTATGTCCTATGTTGATTGCTCGTACCACCAGCCTACTAGTAAGGACATGCATTGTCTGTTCTGGGGAGAGCAGCCCAAGCAAATGCAGGCCCCAAGCCTAAAATCAAAATCGGAGCATCCCAGGCCCTAAACCCAAAACCAAAGCTGAAGGCGAGCACAGAACCCTGCCCCTAAAGCCTAAAGCCCACACCCCCCCAGAGCCCTGCAGACCCTAAGCCCCCCCCCAAGAGCGCAATACCCCTTAAATAAGGAACATGCTTTAAATCATAATATTTAGGGCCCCTATAATTTAAGCTATATTGCGGAATTAAGGGGCATTGGGTTCTCTAGGCCTGTTCGGGGCTCTTAACCCTAAACCCTAAACCTTAAACCCTAAACCTTAAACCCTATAAACCCTAAACCAAAGCCCTGAACCCTAAGCCCCGTGTCCTGTCTCCGAGGAGAAGAGGGGATCAGCTTTGGATGCCGAGGCCCTTCGAGCGCTTCTGGATTCCCAGGTCGGAGGGGGAAGGTTTAGGATTGGAGCATGTCTCAGATCAGTGCATTATTTGCACTGCTGGGGATTATATATGCACAGACAATGAAATGAATACAAGGTTTAGGATTGGAGCGGGGTTAGGGGATGGGATCAAGGGGCTAAGAGGTTAATATAAGGGCCTTAATAATTAGAAATTAGAATAGGGTTTTTGAGGTAGATTATACTGTAGCTATAATAGGGAACCGCCCAAAATAGTATCGGTAATTATATGTAAGGGTTTAGTCTTTCGGGTATAGGCTGCAGGGTTTAGGGGCAGTTTGGCGTTCAGGGTTAAGACGTTTAGCCGGGGTGAGGGACTGGGTTTCTTTCCGTAGCTCGAGGATTTGGTAGGGATGTTAATTAACTATATGCTTAAAGGATTGCTACACTGTTGTAGCAGTCATCATTGAACTCATAAAGTTTACGGTGTTTTAGGGTTTAGTGGCGTAGGAACCGCAGACGCTGAGCTCACCATAGTGAACGTACCAAAGCTGGCTGTATCAGGGGCAGGGGCATTGGATGTAGGGTCTTCGGGGTTTAGGCATTTTTGGGAAAAGAGCTGGCTATGCCTTAAACCCTAAACCTTAAAACCTAAACCCCGAAACCCCGAAACCCCGAAACCCTAAACCCTAAACCCTTATATGCTTTACGGTTGAAGGTGCAGGGTTCGGGTGTAGGGCCCGCTTTGAGTTTCGGGTCTGGGCTCCGATTCTGTTTCGAGCTCGAAGGCTCCAGGGACATTCGAATCTAGGTTCCCCAGCAGTACCCTTTTGCCCTTTTTCAAAAGGGTTTAGGGTTTAGGGGTTTAGAGTTTTGGGGTTTAGGGGTTTAGGGTTCCCTGAATAAAAAAACAAAATGGTAGGAAAAAGGGTACCCTTACTATCTGGGGGCTACTGGGGAACCTAGGAATAGGGTTCCTTTAAAGGGATCCTTAAAGGGTTCTATAAGGGATCTATCAAAGGGTTCTATGATAGGGGCCTTAATAATTAGAGTATAGTGTATGGGTAGTTCTCCAAAATAGCGTCCCTTTTTGGGTAGTACGGCATCCTTATAAAAAGGGCCCTAAAAGGGACCCTAGATTAGAGAACTACCCATATACGCAGGCCTTGAACTATGTATATAGAACTCCTTTCAGGCCTAGGCCTACATCCTACACCCTAAACCCCTAAATCCCTAAACCCTATACTCCTAAACCCTTAAGCCGTAAACCTTAAACCCCTAAGCCCTGAGCCCGTAAACCCTAAGCCCCTAAACCGTATAAACCCAGATGCCTAAATAGTTACCAATACTATTTCGGAGGTTCCTTATTTATAACCCCCCAAACCCTATTCTAATTATTAAGGCCCCTATCATAGAACCCTATCATAGAACCCTTTAGGGATCCCTTTAAAGGAACCCTATTCCAATTACTAAGGCTTCTTCATTAAAACCAGAGTCTAGGACATTTTCAGGTGGGTAGTTACCGTTCTAGGAGCCTTCTAGAAGGTCTAATATACCTCATAGAAGCCTTACAGAAGCCCGATATACCCTAAACTCCCCACCTAACCCTAAACCCTAAACCCTAAACCCCTAAACCCCTAAACCCTAACCCCTAAACCCTAGGGTCCCTCTCAGGGTCCCTCCTTTAGTCCCTAAACTCCCCACCTGTACTTGGAGGCCCAGGGGACTTAGTAAGTACGTTATAAGTAGAGTTATAAGTACCCTAAATGGAGTTTCCCTAATTATAACCCTACTTATAACCGACTTACTAAGTCCCCTGGGCCTCTAAGTAGTTTCCTTTCACCCAGAGGCCATGGTGAGGCTTTTCGAGGAGAACCCAGACTGTGTCTTGGCGTTTTTCTGGTTGGCTCTTAGGGTTTAGGTTTTAAGGTTTAGGATTTAGGATTTAGGGTTTAGGGTTTAGGATTTAGGATTTAGGGTTTAGGGTTTAGGGGTTTAGGGTTTAGGGTTTCTATATAGGACGCTAAAAGTTTAACTTTTGGGGTTTCTATATGGGACTATGATATGTATGCTAAAAGTTACGGGTTCCCAGAGATCCCAATCCCCCTTAATTAAAGAAATCTACCTTTATTTTATCGGGGCCTTAATAGTTTTGATTTGAGGTATATTCCTTATTTAAGGGGTATTGGGTTCTCTGGGACAATAAACCCTAAACCCCAGCCCGTAAACCCTGAACCCGAAACCCTAACCCCTAAACCCTAAACCCTAAACCCTAAACCCTAAACCCTTTAAGGAGGGGTTCAGGAGTCCGCCAAGGTGTCCTCCCTGAGAGCGCTTGTCCAGGCCTCCTTCCCGGCTCTGCTGCTTGGGTCGCAGGATTTAGGGTTTAGGGTTTTTTAGGGCTTCGGTTTGTTTTTAATAAGGGCTTAGGGTTTTTTTTTATAAGGGTTTAAGGTTTATAAGGGTTTAGGGTTTAGACGGGTTTAGGGTTTATAAGGGTTTAGGGTGTATAAGGGTTTAAGGTTTATAAGGGTTTAGGGTTTAGACGGGTTTAGAGTTTACAAGGGTTTAGGGCTTTTGTAAGGGTTTAAAGGGTGTTGGGGTTTGGGTGTTGGGTCGAAGGTCATGTCTTCGGGGTGGTCCTTAGGAGTGCTTTCCCATGGCTTAGGAAAGCATAAGCCCAATTTTGGGTTGCTCAGTGTTGTCATGTCAAGTGTGGAGGGGCATATCCCTAACCCTGTAGAGGAGATCACTTGCAAGCCGATCCAAAAGATGCCGACTTACCCTAAACCCTAAACCCTAAACCCTTCATTATGTAAACCTACAGCATCCGATCCCGAACTACCTGGTCCTCGATGCTAGTTAGGGTTTAGGGTTTAGGTTTTAGGGTTTAGGGTTGTTGCTGTACCGTAGTAGGAATGCCATGCTTGTTTTGATGGCTGCACCATCACCGCCTTGCCTATCCCGAAGGAGCTCGGGGAACAAGAACAATGCCAAAACTCCAACAGCCGACACCTAAGCCCTAAAACCTTGCACCCTGGACCAACTTTATAGCCACTCGACACCCTAACCCCCCAAACACACACACACACAAAAAAAAAACAACAACAAAACATAAACAGCCAAACAAATACAACAATCCGAAGTGCCTCCAGGTTCCAAAAGGCCTCGGGGCTTCCAATCCCTTCGGGACGGCGCGGCTGAGGGAGATGGCTCTGGCGCACTTCGAGGGCAGCGTGGTGAAGGCCGGGTTTAGGGTTTAGGGTTTAGGGTTTAGGGTTTAGGGTGTCATGACAGAAAGCAAGGATATCCGTGCCTTCTTGGGCTTCAGTAGAACATAGGAATCCCCTCTTCTATGTTTTGCCTATGTGCTTTTTAGGGGCCCTAGCTTGGGGGCTAGGTGCCAGAGAGTTTTCTGAGAGTTCTTTGAGGGGTTTTTAATTGTGGGTCTCCTGAACAAGAGAGAGAGAGAGAGAGAGAGAGAGAAAAAAAGAACAGCGCTCTCTAACTTAGGATCCCCTTTCAAGGTCATGTTCATAAGGGTGCCGTACGAATTTGGGAAACCTTGAAAGGGACCCTAATTTAGACAACAACCCATGTGAATTAGGCTGGGAGAAGATTTCCGTAGGCTCCAAGGCTATTGATGCTCACTACATGACGGGTACCGATGGTGCGGGCTGGACTGCCGATGAAAGCCTGGCATTGCGCCACTTTTTGGCTGCTTTGGAGACTCGTCCACTCTCTTGTTTGAGAGCTTGTGGTCATCAAAAGGAGCCGACAGGAGTACTAAAGGGGGTTGAATCGTGTGTAACGTTGTTCTTTAGGGTTCCTCACCGCAGTCATAAGTTTTAAACTGCACCACGACCGTACTCTAAACATTTCGCCGCCGAGTTCCAAAGCTTGCCAGCCCCACCTTTCCACCTCTTGCCTCTAACGCAGATGAAATGCCTTGGGTTTAGGGTTTAGGGTTTAGGGGAACAGGTGCTTCTGTAGCCATAAGCCACTGAGAGCGCCATGTTGAGTCCAACTCTCACTTTGGCAGCAGGGATCTGACGATTGACGATGCTTGAGGGTTCATGGGACTTAGTAATCCAGGCTTATAAATTCAGAAAAGTAAGAAATAAGGTGTGTACTGTAAAAACTACGTATAGCTCCAAGTAGGGTGCATGAAACCGTGCTTGATTGGTCCCATGGTCCTCCAAGTAGTAGATCTTTTCCAAGGTTGCTACAAGGCTGTGGCTACCTGGGCCCTGCATCCCAGAATACGGAGAAGCCTCTGATGCAAAGCTCAACTTAGTAGTAGGGTAGGTAACCTTTAACCTTGTTGGGCACCATAATCCCTATATATTCGAAAAAGTTAACCTTTAGTCCTTAGTCCCCCTAGAATATTGGACAGGCAAGTCAAAGCAAAACCTTCAGCTTAACCCCGGACACGCCCGGAGCTTTCGGAAGCGCGATCCCCGCAAAAGAAACCCTAGAAACCCCAGAAACCCTAGAGACCCTAGAAATTTCAGAAACCCTAGAAACCTAAAAGACTCAGAGGAATACCATACTTTACTACTTTCCGTTGGACCTGTTCCTTAAACCCAGACCCCCCCAACTACCTTCTATTATAGCCCCAAATACCCACTATTAAGGACCACAAGTGCTTTATTCAAGGTCCTTTGGGGGGTCAACCCCATGCTTCCAGGGACCATACTTTACTACTTTCCGTTGGACCTGCTTTTTAAAGTGAGCGTTTTGACATAACAGTTTATGCGTGTTTCTCCCTGGTCGCCTTCAGCAGCATTTTGACTTGAACCCTAAACGCCGCAATCTCACACTTTAAGCCTGAAACGCATATGGTAAGCCTTGTGGTACACAAGAGTCCTTGAAGGAACCCCAAAACCTTAAGTCAGCTCCCCCTAAACCCTAGACCCCCAAACCCCTAAACCCCCTAAAACCCCAAAACCCTTAAACCCCCCAAACCCCTGCAACCACTAAACCCTAAACCCCAAAACCACCTAAACCCCTAAAGCCCCTAACCCTCCTAAAGCCCTAAAACCCAGGAAAATCCCTTGAACCCTAACCCTCTAAAACCCTAAACCCCTACAATCCGTAAATCTTTAAACCCCTGCAACCCTAAAACCCTCCTAGTTTAAAGCCCTAAAGCCCGGGAATATCCCTTGAACCCTAACCCTCCTAAACCCTAAAACCCAGGAATATCCCTTGAACCCCTAAACCCTAACCCTCCTAAACCCTAAAACCCAGGAATATCCCTTGAACCCCAAACTAAACCCCCTAAAACCTCTGCAACCCTAAACCCTAAACCTCCTGAACCCTAAAAACCCTAACACCCTAAAACCCCTAAAGCCCAGGAATATCCCTTGAACCCCAACACCTCCTAAAGCCCTAAAGCCCAGGAATATCCCTTGAACCCTAAACTAAACCACTAAAATCCCTAAATCTATAAACCCCTAAAACCCTAAAATCCAGGAATACCCCTTCAACCCTAAACCCTCCTAAAGCCCTAAAGCCCAGGAATATCCTTTGAACCCCTAAACTAAACTCCGAAACCCCTAAACCCTAAACCCCTAAACCCCTAAACCCCCCCAAACCCCCAAAACGTCTTAAACTTCCTAAACCCTAAAGCCCAGGAATATCCCTTGAAACCTAACCCTCTAAAACCTTAAACCCCTAAAATCCGTAAATCTTTCCCCCTAAGCCCTAAAGCCCAGGAATATCCCTTGAACCCCCAAACTAAACTCCGAAACCCCTAAACCCTCCCGAACCCCCAAAACCTCCTAAACTTCCTCAAGCCCCTAAAAGCCCAGGAATACCCCTTGAACCCCTAAACTAACCTCTAAATCTCTAAAATAAACCCTAAACCCTAAACCCTAAACCCTAAACCCTGAAAGCCCAGGAGTATCCCTTGAACCCCGAGTATGCGACTCCCTTGGAGATCCTGAGAGCCTGGTCTCGGAAAGGAGGAGCTCCTCGGCTGCAGCCGCTTTCGTGGTTTAGACCTTTTAGGGTTTAGGGGTTTTAGGGTTTAGGGTCTTAGGGGTTTAGGGTTTAGGGTTTAGGGGTTTAGGGGTTTAGGGTTTAGGGTTTTGGCGCTCCTCGGCTGCAGCCGCTTTAGGCTTTTTTTTTGGGAGGGTTTGAGGGGGCTTTTAAGGGTTTAAAGGGGGTTTTAGGTTTTTTTTTTTTTTGCGGTTTTTAGTGGTTTTAGGTTTTAGGAGGTTTAGGGGTTTTAGGGGGGTTTTGGGTTTTAGTGTTTAGGGTTTAGGAGGCTTTTCGGGGTTTAGGGCTTCAGGGTTTAGGGTTTTAGGAGGTGTTGGGGGGTTTAGGGCTTTTAGGGGTTAAGGGATTTAGGGTTTAAGAGGGTTGTAGGGGTTTTAGGGCTTTTAGGGTTTTAGGGTGTTAGGGTTTAGGGGCTTTAGGGGTTTAGGGTTTAGGGCTTTAGGGGTTTAGGGGTAGTGGGTTTAGGGGTTTAGGGTGCTTAGGGCTTTAGGGTTTAGGGGTGCGGGTTTTAGGGTTTAGGAGGGTTCTAGGGGTTAGGGTTTTAGGGTTTAGGAGCCTAGGGCTTTAAGGTTGGTTGGTTGGTTGGTTTAAGGGTTTAGGTTTAGGGGTTCAGCATTTTAGGGTTTAGGGTTGAGGGTTGGCTTGGAAGTATTGGGGGGTCTAGAGGTTTAAGATTTCAGGCTTCCTACAACACCAGGGCCTCCACAAGGGTTGCTGTAGGGGTTTATTGGTTTGGGGATGCATGATTCAGGGGGTGTTTTCGGGGGTTCGGGGCCCTAACCCCTAAACCCCTAAATCCTAAACTCTAAATAAACCCTAAACCCTAAACCCTAAACAACTGCTTCTAGGATGGAAGGCTGTTGGCACCCCCCAGGCTGGGGCACAAGACACGAATTCCAGGAGTCTGCTCAAAGGGGTCAAAGTACCTGCATAGGGTTTCTCTAGAGGTTCCTAGAGTTTAGGGTTATACGGTTCCTGTACGGGCTATATGGTAGTATGGAGGGTTTCTATAATAGGAACTACTACCATGATTTGGTGAGGTATCCCCAATAAAAGTACCTAGGACCCCTTGTGCTATAGGTTTTTGTGAGGGCGTGTTTTGGCAGGATCTTGTATGAGTCTTTACTAGAGGGGGCCCTCATCATGAGAAGGGGATTCTGAGGTGAAGATTGCCGTATATCTAGGACAAGAAACCCAAAGGAAGACTATTGGCAATGATTTAGGCTTGTATGTAAGGGTTGTATAGGCATTTAGTCGAAGCTCCACAGCCGCTGCCCAAGAACCCGGCCCAGGTAATGGTTTGGCATTTTTCAATCTAAACCAGCTATCTGACAGCTGAACCTTCTTCTGTGGGGTAGTGGGAGGAGTGGGCATTTGGCCGTCAACGGTATAATGTTGTAGGTTGATTTGGGGTGTTTGGGTGTAGGACGTATTCCTGGTCTGTGTTATCGGGGTATTTCATCTAGGTAAATCAGTATCGTCAGGACTGCCTAACATAGCTGTTATGCCGAGAAGTGAAACATATCTAATCTTTGTCCGGTGTTCGATGCGTTATTTGGTGTGCTAGTCTTGCGAGTATCCGGCATCAATAAATCAAGCATACAAATGCTGGTTGTTTGTATTGACCATGCTTGGATTGCTCTAGTTTTTGCTACATTCAGCGTTGCGCATCAGTAGTTGTCTGCCCGGTGCCTCTATAGACATAGGGTATTGGATGTTGGATGTTCTGGTTATCTACCAGCATGATCCCTGTTAAGCTTTCAAACAGGTATTCGTATGTTTTTGCTGTCTCTGGGTGCTCTGATATTGTAAGGCCTTACCGGCTATTTGCTGCTGTATTGAGATTGCTCTGCTTCAACCCTAAACCCTAAACCCTAATCCGAGCACTTGATTAATAGGACCCCCCATATTTAAAGAAATTTTTTCGGCAGATTTAGGGCGATCTGTATGTGTTTCCATTACG